AAAAAATTAATCAATTTTAATCAAGTAGTTTTAAAAAATGTTTACTTTCTAAAGGTTTTATATGCAGCCATTTCAAATTACAAGAGTACAAACCTCACAACCCCAACAACGTGGAAGAGGTCCGCCAGAATGTTGGTAGGTGCCGTCTGATCATTCCAGCAATTGGAGTGCATAATTATTATGCAAAAAGATCAGGAAAAAAAAATATTAAACGAGGTTATAAACGAATAAAATTAGGAAAATGTATGCTCATCGGATCAAACTTATAAATATAGTATTTCATAACTTGATAAAAAAAAAATACTATTTCATGCAATTTTATTTATTTAAAAATATCACTTAAAAAATAGAAGAGCGAAGATTAAATAATACTTGATCAATTTATATTTTTGAAAAAATAAATTGACAAGAATAAATGTATGATATTTAGGAATGAAAAAAACACGTATTTATAATCTTATTTTAAAATAAAATCTCATCATTTTAAGAGAAAAGTGTATATTAATTCTTACTCTTAAAAATAATTGGAGTTTTAATCTTGAACTATATTATTTTATTTAATTAAAATTTAATTCAAAATTTTAAAAATTATCTTATTAAATATTAATATATTAGAATGTATAATGGGTTTTCAAATTTAAATGTCAACATTTAATAAAAAAAGATTTTAGTTTTCAATTATAAGTTAAAACTCTAATTATTTTTAAAATCATGATTGATACACACTATCCATTAATTTTAGTATAACATGTAGAATGCCAAATACTAATGGAAAGGTATTGTGAGATTTTATTATAAAATAAAGATTGTGTTGAATTCTTACTATTGAAAAGTTATCTAAACAGAGTAGAAAACAATCAAACTAACTTAGGCCCCGTTTAGTATAGTGGTTTTTGGGTAGCGGTTAACGGTTTTACCTAAACCGCTAAATATAAGTGTTTGGTAAATTTATATATTTCGAAACCGTTATAAATAAAATATTTGGTAAAATTTTTATTTAGCGGTTTGAGACTAGCGGATAACAGTTAGAGTCCAAACCGCTAATGAATTGAAAAAATTAGTTTATGTAACTTTTTATACCAAACCGCTAACGGATTAAAATTTTTTAATTTTATTTACAAATTTATTCATTTTAATTTTTTAATTTGTGGTCACATTTTTTAATTAATATTTAT